AAGGTTATAAGAAAATAGCAAAAAAATATATGAAAAAATTTAAAGAAACTGAAGCCCAACTCTCCGAGGTCGAAGATGATTATAACGACGCAAAAAATAAAATTCACAAACTTACTATAGCCAATCTAAAATTGAATATAGAGATTGAAAAATTTAAAAATGAATTTCAGGGCATCTCAGCCCTGAATAAACGAGGTTTTTTTACTTGTAAATGTGACGTCAAAATCAATAACATAGATTATAAAATTTGTATCGATACCAGTTGTGATGGAATGAGTTTTATGTCCGAACAAAAAGCCAAATCTTTAAAATTACGCTTTAAAAAACTGGATAAAATCGACTACTGCCTAGGTATTGGTGATGAAAAAATTTATATAGAATATACTTCCGAAACTTTTATCGAATTTAATGGTGTAAAATTTCCAATTACTTTTAAACTTGGTGGTAGAACTAATGACAAGGGGTGTTTTGCCAGAATTGGGATTTATTACGAGGATGGAAGTAAACAAATTACTGAGTCATTACCAGGCTCATTACAGGATAACAATCGTGCAGAAATTTACACGGTAGTTCGTGCTCTTGAAACATGCGAAAATCGAGAAAAGGTACTTGAGATTAGGACCGATAGCAGAAACATGGTTAACGCATTTGAAAGTTGGATCAACATATGGAAAACGCGTGATTGGAAAACATCACGTAATGTGGTTGTTAAAAACAAGGATCTTTTTGAGAGAATTGATATTTTAACTTCTAACAGAATTGGCAAGGTTTACTTTACTTATATTCGGGGACATAAAGGTGTGGTCGAGAATAAGAATGCTGATAGATTGGCCAAAAAAGGTGCAACAATTAGCATGTATGAAAAGAAAAAATTATCACCGTATAATAGGTTTATGAAATTCAATCTCCCAATAATTAAAAGGAATAATCCAGAATTAGATCATAATGCAGCATTTAAATTAGTAGCATCCATGTGGAAAGATTCGATTAACAATCCAAA